GCCTCCTCCAAACATGCAACAGCTACAGCATATGCCCCATATGCCTTTGCTCCCTCATCCACATATGCCTCGCCCTCCATCAACAAATGCCCCAACTTGGAATGCCAGGATCTCTTCAAGCACCTTCATCAGTGCCTTCATCACATCCAATGCCAATGCCAGGGTCAATGGTAGGAGTTTTGAGGTTATTCTGTGTGTTCTTTTGAATTATATCATGCATTTTTATGGATCTTGTGCATAGCCTGTGGAAGATTCTTGCCTGTGTCTTTTTGCTGGTTGCAATGAATGATTGCCTTTTTCTGTGTCTCCCCCTCTTCCCTCATTAATTTGAGCTAATGATTAATTGCTGAACATCTCTTGGAAAGGAGAAGAAAATGATAAACCTTACTGGCATTCAAAAGGTGTAAGCACCTCTTTGTATGATAGGACATCTAGTCTCATTTTTTTGACTCTGCGACATTTAGTGTATAAATATTTACTGAGTTTCTGTATCATGCATCCCATTCAAATTTATGGGTGTGTAGTAAAAGAAAAGAAATTAATATGCATAGAAGTCACTATAATAAGTTTTATTCAACAGTTCAACTTTCAACTATATTAATTTATGTTTTTTTAAGTTAGAAGTTACGCCACTCGCACTGTGTTCATTTAAAATGACACATTTCGATTCAACAATTTCAAGTCTCGTGGTGGCGCTAGCATCTATTTGGTTGTATGGACATCTAGTTCAATTATATATTGATAAAATTTTGAAGTTATGAATTATTAGTATTATCTCTATTAACATGCAAATATGAAACATAGCAATTGAAATTTCTGCCTTCAGGGGATGCAAGGTGGAATTAATCAGATGAGAGCTCCAGGGCCACAGGGTCCTTTTTGTTGCATGAATCAAATGCATTCAGGATCCTTGCCCACAAGTGGAGGACCGCCTGTTGGAGGTTTTCCAGGAAACTTGCATAACATGCAGGGGCCATCAAATGCTGGTTACCCTCAAGGTGGTTCATTTAACCGACCGCAAGGTGGACAAATGCCTTTGATGCAAGGATATCCTCCTTACCAGGTAATAGTTTTCGCTTAAGAACTTGCTTGGTTACCTCGTTTTAAGAAATCTGAAATTGGATCCTATGTCTATTTCGTCTTTTTTGTTGTGGTATAAATAATTATATTGGCATCTTTAAGTTAGCCTCTGCATTCCCTTCTAATTTGTATGAATTTAGAATGAGATAGGATCAACATCCCCAAAGAAAGCAATGGAATTCTGTATGTTAGGGGTTATCTGAGATCTCCAATTTTCGATGGACGCTAATTCTTACGTCTTGCTTGTTGCAGTCCGGAAATCAGCCAGGGATGCCTCCCAATGCAGGGCCCTCATCGCACGCTCAACCTCTCAATAGGGAAAGAGTTTGTTTTCTTGACGCAGTTGTTCATTGGCCATTCTCTTGTAAATTTCTCTCCCTTCTCGTTGATGTTTTGCCATCTGGTATAGGGAAAGAAATTGTTTCTCTGCTCAGTTCAATTTTCTTTCTTTGGTATGTGATAGCTTAATTAAGCATGTTGTAACCTAGCCATTTGGACGATTCTTTATAAAAATTCCATGCGTCTCGATAAATTTTATGCAAAACTGCGTAAAGGGTGAGAGGTGATTTGGCATGCCGCATGATGTCATAGAAGAAAATAGACAATAATTATATATTGTAAATTTTCTACAAAGAAACAACAAAAGGATTTACAAATTAGATAAAATAGAAGCTTTAATTATTATCAGGAAAATTACAATGAGATCTTAACAAAAAAAAAAAAAAGCCTACCAAGAAGTTTTTTTTCTTTTGGGCCATAAATTAAGTTTTAATTGCAAAGTAGAACTTGTTATTATATACTAAAACTTATAGATGGTGCTTAGGTTATTATTGAGATTTTTTTAAACAATTATATATATTTTTTGTAATTTCATTACAATTTTCCCATTATTACCTATCAAAAGAATTTCTTTTTAAATATAAAATGGAAGCACTTAACATTTTCAAAATGCGTATTTATTGAATGATTTAAATATTGGTAATTAATTTTTTCATTATAATAAACACATTACCCTCTCCTTGTTATAATTATTTTCTGATGGGACTGCCTCAGTCATTTTTATTGGATCAACATTCCTCTAAGTATAGTGTTGTTGAAGGTCAAAATTAACATCATCAAAAGAAAAAAAAAACACTTGGTTAAACTTGGTAGTAATGAATTACATTATTACTGATGAAAAATTGCTATAATGTATATTAGTTAAACAAGATTTTTTTTAATTTTTCTGTTAAAAGTTGAAATATTGCTTCTTCTTTTTTTTTTACATATCGGTATTAATCTTCAAAAGGTTCAGTGAAATTCTTCCACCTAAATATTATAGCATGTTGCTATTTCGACAAATATATTTTTTTCGAGTTAGTTTATTTTAAAGTTGGCACATACCATAGATATGGACAAGGCAAAATCTGATGCGAGCACGTGTTATATTTGAAGCCGTGCGTTTGTGCACAAAAGTTTTTTTTTTTTTGGGCTCAAGCACAAAAGTTTGATTTTGATTCGTGAATTATATTTCATTTTACCACCACCACCTCCCATAATAACAACAATAATAATAATAAACTTAAACTATCAATTTCCATAAAAATTTGTGATTAGCATTGCAAGGACATGAATGAGATTGGAAGATGATAGATTTTTTTTAAAAAAATCAATGTTAGAGATTAATTTAGATTAGCAATTGTTTCTATATATACAACTGTATATTATATAGATTATACGTGTAAAGTGACGATCATTTTTGTTATAACCATCTGAACCATTCTTTATCTGTATTAAGGGCACCTTGCTTATATAATGATAATAACCTAAACACTATTTTATAGTGTCTCAGCATATTCAAAATGTTCTCGTGTTTTGTCGTTTTTCCTTTCTATCAACTGAATAATAATTATGTTCACAACTCAGATCTTCTAACCCATCATATTTGCTTCTGCAATTCTATTCTGGGAATATTTTAAAAAAGGTTACTGCTTTAAGTTTATCCTTATTTTTTATTTTGGTCTTTCATATTTTAAATCATATATTTTAATTTCTTAAATTTTTTATTTAAAATATTGGTCTCTATAATTTAATAAATTATTTAAAATATTGAAATTTAAAAGCCGAAAATCAAAATGAAAGCAAACTTGAGGGGTTAAAATTATATTAACCCTTTTCAAAATCAAAATGTGTTTTTAAAAAAATTATAAATTCACCAAATTTACATGAAGGGTTGTGTCTTTATATAAATTAAGATATATGGACATGAAAGGTTGTATTCTTATATAAATTATATATTTATATAAAGGATCACGTAGAAAGTTATAATACAATAACACTAAAAGTTATCAAGGTTGTATTTCTTTAATTTTTATAGACATTATGTAAATGTGTGGTCACACTATTAAGTGAAAGGTTGCATTGTTTTTTCAGATAACTTTACATAGAAAAAGATGTGACTATTCATAAAAAATTTATTAAATAAGCTTTGATTATTTAAATTATCTTTTTTAATAACTCAATATATAGTTATGACTTTTAAATTTTTTAATTAAAAAGGTATTGTTCTAAAAGTCATTTCTTTGACGTATTACTTTATAGTCTATAGAAACCCCTCATCATCATTCTATTTGGAAAGATATATCATACAGCACAAACATACAACAATATCAAACTTATTGTCTTTATCTTTGAATGCACACAGAGATAAAAATAAATGATCACTTTACAAAGATTAGTCTTAGATTGAATATTAGGAGTGTAATTCATATTAAAAAGCATTTATTGTATCTTACGGAAAATTCCCGATTTGCACCCTTTAAAATAAAAATAAATGAGGTAAGCTAAGCCTAAAGTGGTCCTGCGTCTTGATGATTCACTTTCTTCTGCATCTCCCTCTAGTTTTCCGAAGAAGAGATGAAGACAGATATTTACGTCTTCACGCCTCAGATTGGGTATATGACCTTGACTAGCTTGTTTTATTACGTGTCGTTTCGTTGTGAATGCATTTCTATTTCATGCTCATTTTGTTGACCTGATCATTGAAAAAAGGAACCATTTTGTTGACTTGATCATCGAAAAAGAAAATGTTATGGCCCTCCCCTGAACAGAGCTGATCACAGAACTAACCAGATCAAGATGGATGATACTGTTACTGCAAAACAAAGGAAGTGATTCTTAGACCCGGAATATAAAACTACAATCAAGTGATGATTACAAACTAATGAGATCAGCACAAGGTGCGCAACACAATGACTCTGGGCTTTCGAGAGGCCACAACTCTCTTAATCCTCACTACACTACAAAAACCAAAATACTTCACATCTCTCTCTGGACCAAGGGACGATTTTCAAAGACCCAAAAAGTGATTCAGAATCCCCAACATAACCCGTAGTCCCCGCACTGGCAAGCCTAGTCCTCTGTTTCTCTCCAAAAGAGTAGGATTTTCTAAGTCAACTCTCTGACCAACAAGAGGTAACTTTCCCTTTTCATGTTTTTCCTAATTTTCCTTGTTTATGTATTAGCAGCTAAAAGCAATCTTGACAGAAAACCATTTTGTTGACTTGATCTTCTCGTTCCCCTAGATAACTTCAGGTTTTCTGTGCTGATGAAACTAGGATTTTGTTGACTTGATTTTCTATTGCTAATCAATTTTTTTTTTTTGGTCCGCTTCTGGACAATTCTTTTTTTTTTTTTAAATCACAATATAATAGCATAATACACTGAGAAATTTATGACCCCCCATTTGTCAGAATTGTATTATATATATAGATATTAGAACTTTAAAGCACTGGTATTTTTGTTCGTTCCCCGGCAGGTCCAACACCGTTTCTACTTGCTAGCATGGCTGGGCAATCACCATTTTCCCTGTCCTCCTCTTATGGATGGACTTATGATGTGTTTTCTCAATTTCAGAGGTGAAGATTCTCGCTTTGATTTTGCTCGAAACCTCTACGAGGCTTTGCAACAAAAGGGTATCCATACTTTTTTAGACGATGAAAGGCTTAGGAAAGGAGAAAAGATTACGCCTTCACTTCTCAAAGCAATCCAAGAGTCTAGGATGGCTATTACTATTTTCTCTAGAAATATGTTTCCTCTACATCTTGCTTAGATGAGCTTGTTCAGATCCTTGAGCATATAAACAAAAAAGGTAGACTGGTTTTGCCCATTTTTTAATGACGTGGATCCATCAAGAGTACGACGTCAAAGAAAAATTATAGAGAAGTATTTGCTCAGCACGAGAGGAGGTTTAAAAATGACAAGGAGAAGGTGCAAAAATGGAGGCAGGCTCTACAAGATGCTGCTAATCTCTCGGGTTTCCATTTTAAGCCTGGGTATGTTATTCCACTGCCTCTCTTTTTTTTACATCTTTTATTTCTTTTTTTGATATTGATCGTTGCTACTAAATTAACATCTAAGAGAGGCTGCAACACAAATTATGACTTTCAAAGTTTGAAGTGCTTTATTGTTTCCTATTAGCTCTTATGTGTCTCAAAAGAAAAATGAAAACAGAAAATGAATTTATTTTGGCTGATGTATTTGCATTTAGTTTATTTGATAGTCACTCTTCTACTTACCTACATTTATACTTACTTACATACATATATTATAAATAACTAAATAAGGCCAATAATAATGAGCATAGCAAAATCTGAAGTGTTTGAGTCTTATATTGAGCTATTTTGTATCTGAGTATATTTTTGATGAATTTGGCGTCACTTTATGTTGTGAGATGATCACAAGATTGATTTGACGCCCTTAGTTTGAATTTTCAGAAAATTTGTTATTGGTGCAGATATCAATATGAATATGCTTTGATTAAAGCAATTGTTAAAGAGGTCACTAAGAGAGTTAACCGCAAGCCTTTACACATTGCTGATTATCCAGTTGGACTTGAGTATCGAGTGCGAAAAGTAAATTCTCTTCTAAATGTTGAATCTAATGAAGGGGTCCAAATGGTAGGAATATGTGGCACTGGTGGAATAGGAAAATCAACAATTGCTCGAGCAGTATGCAGTTCGATTGTGGACTCATTCGAAGGCTTTTGTTTCCTTGCTGATGTTAGAGAAAATTCAATTAATCATGGCCTAGCATATGTCCAGGAAATGCTTCTTTTCTGAACTGTTGGAGGAGGACATCAAGTTAAGAGATGTTAATAAAGGAATTCCAACAATAAAGCATAGGCTCCACAAAAAGAAGGTTCTTCTTGTTCTTGATGATGTTGATAAGCCAAAGCAATTACAAGCAATTGCTGGGGGACTTGATTGGTTTGGTTCTGGTAGTAGAATCATTGTAACAACAAGGGATCAGCATTTGCTAGTAAGCCATGGTGTTAAAAGAATTTATGAGGTAGACTGTTTAAATAAAGAAGAAGGTCTCGAATTGCTTAAATGGCATGCTTTTAAACAAAGTAGTGTTGATTCAAGTTGCATGGGCGTTTTAAACAATGTAGTACTCTATGCTGGTGGTCTTCCATTGGCGTTGGAAGTTATAGGTTCCAACTTGTTCGGTAGAGAAACAAATGATTGGAATTCTGCATTAGAAAGTTATCGTAGTATTCCAATTAAAGAGATCCAACAAATCCTGAAGGTAAGCTATGATGCTTTGGAGGAATACGAACAGGAAATCTTTCTTGACATTGCTTGCTGCTTTCAAGGTGACAGTTTTGAATATGTAAGAAGTGCATTGTATGCACGTGGTATATGCCCGGATTATGGTGTTCAAGTGTTGATTGATAAATGTCTCATAAAGATGAATCATGGTAAGGTGACGATGCACGATTTGATTCAAGCCATGGGTAAAGAAATTGTGCGACAGAAATCACCATATGAGAGTGAAAGCGCACTAGGTTGGTTTCATAAACATTCTTAATGCGTTGGAAGAAAACAAGGTAAGAGTCATTGGTACATGTATATTTTTCATATTGCAATTCTTATGATCACGGTGTTCTAGTTTTCCTTAATCTCTCCCTCAGGGGTCTTGACAGCGCACATAGCTCTTTTCTTTTCTACTTTTGTTTTTCCTCTTCCAATTCCTTGAATAACCTCCTATTATCTTTTGACGAGTGCGTTATGATCTAAGATATTTTTAGTGGACTCTATACCAACTCGTAATACATTTGACAGATTTTCTGGTTTACTTTGTTACTTGGTATGAAAGGGTTCTGGGGAGATTGAAGCCATAAATCTAGACATGCCCGGAGATATGGTGATTGATTGGAATGGAAGGGCCTTTCAAAAAGATGCCAAATCTTAAGATTCTTATTATCAGAAATGCACAGTTTTCTACAGGTCCCAAGCATCTCCCCAACAGTTTAAGAGTGTTGGACTGGAAGGGATATCCTTGTCCATCTTTACCGTCTGATTTTAACCCCAAGGAACTAATTATCCTCAAAATGCCGGAAAGTTTCCTCCAACCGGATGTCCCACTCAACGCATGCAGAGTATTGGCCCTTTTGATCATTATTTTTTTTTTATTATGAAGCAAGAATACGTCAAAATTTGTTCCATGCAATGATTGCTGTAAATATTAGTATTTGTGTTTTTTAATGTTTTATGATGTTCTTATAGTTTATTAAGACTTGGTTATTTTTTATCTTGGCTCGCAGAAGTTTCAGTCTCTGAGCGTGATGAATTTCAGAGGTTGCAAATTTTTAAGACGAGTTTCTGACTTATCTGCAGTTTCAAATTTGAAGGAATTGTGTTTGGAAGGCTGTAACAATTAACTGAAGTTCATGTGTCTATTGGATTTCTTGGTAAACTTAAAAGGTTGAGTGTTAAAAACTGTTGGAAGCTCAACACCTTTCCAAGTATCAAGTTAGCATCCCTAGAGTTTCTTGACCTTTCTGGGTGCTTCGGCCTCACAAGATTCCCAGAAATATTAGGAACGATGGAAAATATCAAAGATGTCTGTTTGGACCATAGTGGCATAGAAGAGTTGCCTTTGTCATTCAAAAACCTAGTTAATTTAGAAAAACTAGAACTTTCGTTTTGTAGGAGTATTGAAAAAATTAGAGGTGTTCCACCGAACCTAAAGAATTGTCGGCAGTGAACCTTGAATGGTACTCACACTTGAGCTTAGAGTCTCGTGGCATTTTGCTGCGTCAGGTTAGTCTCTCTCTCTCTCTCCACTACTCTTAATTGCGTCTGTGTGATGAATCATGAACTACTTTACAAAGAAGTTGGTGCCAGCACGCACATAATGAAATGATGTTATTTGATAAAAAATGACATGACCCCTGAACAAACCAAAAAAAAAAAAAATAAATCAAAGATAGATTGTTCTTTCTTGATCTAGTGCTTCAATTGTGGGAACTACTTAAATAGAAGACTCGTTACTCTGTACTCTATAGATAGTTTTCTTAAATTCTTCCTCCATATAAACATTAATATTAGAAGTAACTTTGTTCTTGATCTTTTTTTGCAACAGGCTTTACATGAGGTTGATGGCTTGAAATTCATAGTAGAAGAAGATAAGACCCCAGAATGGTTTGACCACTATGTTGAGGGACATTCATTGTCTTTCTGGTTCCAAAAGGAATTCCCAATCATGGCCGTATGTTTTGGTGCATTAATAGAGGACCCATGGCACGCACCTCCTAAAATGCTTATCGACGTCCGAGTTAATGGCACGGATGTTGGATTTCCAGAAGGGCAACAATTTTGTCATCACTTACACACCACATATCTTTTTGTTTGATTTGCGGCGGTTTGTTCTCGAGGATAAACTGAGAAGTGGTTTTAGAGAGTGGATGGACCACGTGGAGATATCCTGTGTCTGAGTTACATAGATTGCTCCGGTCCAATGTTTTGGGTGAAATATATGGTATATCAAAGGCAAAATGGAGTGGAGCATATGTGTACAAGCAAAAGTCCAGAATGGAAGATATTCGATTCATAAATCATTGCCAAGAAGCTGTATCGGAGTTGTCGAAAGGATCTTCCACGAATCCTGACAGTTTTACTGAGTCAGTCCTGCCTAGATGAAGTGGTCTGACATCGATTTCAAAGTCAGTGGAGACAGTAGCAAAAATGCAGATATGTCCCTTTTATCCAAACCCATTGCTGAATCTCATTCAGTCACTGGAATAGAGAATAATATTAGGAAGAGGGACGGGAGAGATCTATCAATACGGGTCCCACGTCGTCCCACTCGTTCTCTTCTCTGTCCCTCTTGGATGAGAAATGATGAATCAGAAGGAAAATGCTAAGCTGTTGCTAAGAATTAAATGCTAAGAAACATTGTATGGATGTTTGTTTGTCTTATTTTGTTCATCTAAATTTGTTCAATAACCTTGTAAGATATTGGATTCTTAAATTGTAGCCAGGAAACTGTCCTTGAATCATTAGATCGATCTTCCATGAATCCAAACAGTTATGGTGAGATAAGAGCACCAACTCAGCAGACGCTACTCACATACAGCAGAAGGATCAAATTGCTAGCTAGCTCTAGAATTTTTCTTTCGGCAGCTCAACTTCTAAGTTTGACTAGCTACGAAAGTGTGAAGACTACTTACAATTGAAAAGTTCAATATTATCAATAACGAAATGCTTAAAATGAATTATCCAAATTCATAAATAATACTCCTCTAATCCTTAATATAAGACCATTTAACTAATTTGATAGATTAAGGAAGTTAGGTAAGTTTAGTTAATTATAAGAAACGTGACACGTTTTTCCTAAAATACCATAATCATCTTTCTTAATACCCTCTCTTCCTCTCCTACTTGATTATAGTTGAGGGTATTCATAGGGGTAATTTAGAGAAAACTGATAAATATGAGAAATGGGTCTTATATTTAAGATTAAAACCAATTCAACAATTAGGTCTTATATATAAGACCGGAGGAATAGTAGCTTATGGAAACTTGTCACCTGTACAATAGAATGGAAGAGGGGAAGGATCAAATGAACAAAAAAATATTACGTATTGAACGTTTAAGAATTGAGAATTTAAGAGCTCTCCTGGGAATTTGACTCTATCATGGTTGATTGAGTAATATTAAATTCAGACATGTCCTTTCATGTTAATATTTTTTTGACTAAGGTGTATTTTTAGTTTTTTTTATCTTTAACACAAAATTTCAGTTCTATCCGTTAATTTAAAAAGTATATTTTAGCCATCTGACCCTAAGACTGTTAACAAAAAATAATGATCTTGAGATTTTAAATGTTGATAAAACATGCTCAAATACTAACAGATTAAGTTTTAATTCTCATAACAACTGTGATTATTACAAAAATATGACTAATGATTTTAAATTAAAGATTAAAAATATACTTTTTAAAATTAAGGGACTAAATCGACAATTTGTTTAAAGTTAAAGCATGAAATTTATACTTCAACTCTATTTTTTGAAATATTGGGATTACCATTTTAAATGATTAACACGGTAAGAATTGAGTTTGTCTAATTAGAGTGTCAATTGAGTTACAACAATAAAATCAAGTTACAACTTACAACAATAAATATCAAATGTGTTATAAAATTAACCAACAAAAAAATAGGTTTGAGAAGAGATGTAGACAAGAAAATAGAAGAATGATATTATATTCCTTCACTTGTTTCACTTTCTATCACAATACAATGGCATGTCATATTTATAGGTATAATCTTACACATAGGTTACACTTATACTTAAATGATGGATAAAAGACAATAAATCACATAAATGTAAGCAGGGGTGAGTTACGAAATTAAAGGCATAGTGGAGAAGTAATAGAGTAGTGGAAGATTAATGCCTAATGGAAGTAGTGGGAGTTGAGGAAGTTGAGGAGGAAGGGAAGATCGACATCCACATTTGATAATATTCATAACACTCTTCACTAGATGTCCATTATATAAGGATGTGCCTTATTAAAAAACTTCAATTAGGAAAACCCTATGGGACAAAACCTAACAAAAGAAAAAGGTACACATTCACTAATACACTGTTTGATGCTGCCTTATTAAAAACCTTACTATAAAAACCCAATGGGAAAAAACCATAGACAAGGAAAAAAGAGTATAGCGTGTATTAACTCCCCCTGTTGATGACATCAATTGATATCCTTGAGTCTGTGACATCTGATATCATGAACAAACTTTTCAAATATTGTAATAAGAAGTGACTTGGTAAACAAATATGCTAGATATATATTTCACCATCTTTTGAGTATTATGAGATACTCTATATGGAATTACCAACATGTAGATCAAAAAGAATTTATAATCTTTATTTTAGTGTTTTCGTGTTGGCGAAGAACTATATCTTACTAGTAAGTTAACAATAAATTATATATCAAGTTGTATGTTGACTGCAAAGATATATAAGTGCACTAATTGTACTAACATATGGTACTTCTAGACCAAATAATTCTTCATCACCTTCTCAAGGTCTAAAAGGTCCCAAAATCTCACAACCACTAAAGTACATAATGGAAGTGATTTATCCATATAAAAATAATTTAAGACCTTTTTTGTATCAATTATTTGATACACAAAAATTTTTATTTCTTAAGTATTCAATTTGCAATCCGAGGCAAAACTTTGTTTTTCCCAAGTCCTTCGTTTCAAATTCTTTCTTTAAGCAATCCATAGCTTTTGTAAGCTCTTCAAGAGTTTCAATAATATGTATGTCATCAATATAAACAGCAATTATAGCAAACTTATTTCCAGATCTTTTCATAAAAATGCATGGGCAAATTGGATCATTCTTATATCATTCCTTTAACTGTTATTTGCTTAGTCGGTTATACCACATATGCCCTAATTGCTTTAATTCCTATAGAAACTTATTTAACTTAATTAAGTATTGTTCTCAAGAACTTGAATTGTATGCTTCTGGCAAATGAAATCCTTCAGAAAATTTCATATATTTTGATCCAGAATT